ACACACGATATAAGGTATACGTGTCCAGGCTCCTCCTCAGGTCTTATGACTTTCAATGGAAGTGATGGTGTACCATGGCCTTGCCATCAGCCATGGTAAATCTATTGTCACTTCCTCCCAATTCAATCTATGATAACCTTTGGCCTGCAGTGCCAGTAACCCTGGTTCCCCCCAGATCTCTTGTTGTGGGCAGATAGGCCTCTCTCTGGACGGACGGACGTTTCTAAGTAAAGAAAAGCAAAAACTATTTTCTGTTGCTTCTTCAAAGTGATCCCCTTTGAGATGGTCAATTGACCTTTTTTGGGCTTGAGTTGCCTCAAATTGGTGGTTGACACGGTCATTTTGAAGAACCAAGTAACTAGCTATTTCTTGAAGAAGAACATCACGGCGATCAACAAGGTCATCACAGATGTGTGAAGAAAAGGTTGAGCAAGGAGTATGGGAGCTTGGGCCTTATTCTGAAGCCGGCAGGGGCTGAGAAGTGTTTCCTCAAGCGCCGCTTGGATGACCAATTCCTGGATGCGATCCGACAACGTGCAAACCACTACTTCCAACGATGGCGCAGAGATCGCAAGGTCAGCTTCTTGGAATGTTCTTCAGGAGGTGATCCCAAGTACAAGAACATTCAATTAGCTGGGGCCTAGGCGCCTGGCGGTCACGTTTTCCTTCGCGACGTTGCCTCAGACAAGGCTTAGACTTTTGCAGCAGGACAATATCGGGACTGACAAAAGTTTTAGTTAGGCTCGCCATGACATTACACACTTGGTCACGTATTGTGATGAGGTGCACATCGTCGAGTCGTCATCTTAGATCTTTACAATTTTTAGATTAACAGCCTTAGGCCTTAGCTTCAGACTTTGATAATAGGTATATAATTATGGCCTGCTCCTATAATACTTTGAGGGGATAGGATGGTTCCCCCACCCTGGCGGGGGGCCAGGTCGATTCTTTGTCTTCTCAACACCTTTGTGAGCAGCTTAGTTATTTGATGTTTAACTTTGATTCTTGTATTGCAACCAGAACTGTCTGAGCATTGAATTTGAAAATGAAGTGCATCAGCATGAGTCAACCAGAACTGTCTGAGACTTGCTGATGCACGCATCTTTGCTTGAGACATTCAGTTTCACCGTAGTGCATCCTGTCTCACCATAGTGTATCGGCGTGGGTCAAGCAGAACGGTCTGAGACTCCATAGAAGAGCAATAAAGCTGCCGATTCCTTTTGCGCATATAGTTGTGCCGGGACATCGCTGAATGTGATCTGTCACAGTCATTAGTCATAGTCCTTGAATGCTTTGCGGGTCCGCATTGTTGGTCTGTGCAGCTAGGTTTGCATCGAGTCAGGGCCCCGGGATGGGATGGATTACCTGGATAAGCTGCTACCACAAAGAGACAAATCGATATATTATATATTGAGATAGAGATAGAGATATGATATAAAGATGGATGTATGACTGTTAATATATAGAGATGGATGTATGAGTGTTAAGATAAGAGTTTCAATTCAAGTCACAGTCAGGAGTCAGGACCCTAAACCCAAAAAGCACATGGAAAGGAGCACAAGGGCCATCCCATTATATCTTGTAATACTGTGCTTGTCCCAGCCCCGAAACGTTCGCCGCCTGCCAGGTCCGCCCGTTTATACTTCTTTTTGGGGAGATGGCAAACCACCTTGGTTGGGGGGCCCCAAAGCACACAGCCCTCATGACATGTTTATACATGCTGGTTTCGAGTAAGATCATTTCCTTTTTTTTCCGGTTCACATGGAAATGGGACTTCGCCACGCCACCCCATCGACACATGCACACACGATATAAGGTATACGTGTCCAGGCTCCTCCTCAGGTCTTATGACTTTCAATGGAAGTGATGGTGTACCATGGTAAATCTATTGTCACTTCCTCCCAATTGAATCTATGATAACCTTTGGCCTGCAGTGCCAGTAACCCTGGTTCCCCCCAGATCTCTTGTTGTGGGCAGATAGGCCTCTCTCTGGACGGACGGACGTTTCTAAGTAAAGAAAAGCAAAAACTATTTTCTGTTGCTTCTTCAAAGTGATCCCCTTTGAGATGGTCAATTGACCTTTTTTGGTCTTGATCGAGTGGTTTCACATTGATGGTTGACGAGCTCATTTCGAAGAAGCAAGTAACTAGCTATTTCCTGGAGAAGAACATCGCGGCGATCACCAAGGTCTTCACAGATGTGTGAAGAAAAGGGTGAGCAAGGAGTATAGGAGCTTTGCACATGGACTAAGAGATCCATTGGCGAGCCTTGACCAGGGAGAGTTCCTCATCGAGGCGGTGAGGACACAGTGCCAGCTTCCAAACATTCGCATGGCTGAATGACCAATTCCTGGATGCGATCCAACAACATACGAGCCACTACTTCCGGCTGAGAGACTTCGAGGAGGCGATCCAGACTTACTTCTCGCTGGCACGGCGCGCTTGCACGGCGCGGACTCATCGTTTTGCAGCACAGTGCCAGTGGACCCGACCATGCTGAATGGCATGCAACAGCTGTGATAGTCTGCAAGCAGTGATCGCTTCAAGGTTTTGCAGGACAATCTCGGGACGGACAAAAAAGTTTTAGCTGGGCTCGCCATGACATTACACACTTGGTCACGTATTGTGATGTGGTGCATATCATCGAGTCCTAATTAATACCCTTAGGCCTTAGCTTCAGACTTTGATACTGCGTATGTAATTATGGCCTGCTCCTATAATACTTTGAGGGGATAGGATGGTTCCCCCACCCTGGCTGGGGGCCAGGTCGGTTCTTTGCCTGACTCAACGCCTTCGTGACAATTGAATTTGAAAATGAAGTGCATCAGCATGAGTCAACCAGAACTGTCTGAGACTTGCTGATGCACGCATCTTTGCTTGAGACATTCAGTTTCACCATAGTGCATCCTGTCTCACCATAGTGTATCGGCGTGAGTCAAGCAGAACGGTCTGAGACTCCATAGAAGAGCAATAAAGCTGCCGATTCCTTTTGCGCATATAGTTGTGCCGGGACATCGCTGAATGTGATCTGTCACAGTCATTAGTCATAGTCCTTGAATGCTTTGCGGGTCCGCATTGTTGGTCTGTGCAGCTAGGTTTGCATCGAGTCAGGGCCCCGGGATGGGATGGATTACCTGGATAAGCTGCTACCACAAAGAGACAAATCGATATATTTTATATTGAGATAGGAATAGCGATATGAAATAGAGATGGATGTATGAGTGTTAATATATAGAGATGGATGTATGAGTGTTAAGATAAGAGTTTCAATTCCAGTCACAGTCAGGAGTCAGGACCCTAAACCCATAAAGAACCAACTTATATCATATTGTAATACTGTGCGTGTCCCAGCCCGGAAACGTTCGCCGCCTGCCAGGTCCGCCCGTTTAGACTTTTTTTTGAGGAGATGGCAAACCACCTTGGTTGGGGGGCCCCAAAGCACATAGCCCTCATGACATGTTTATACATGCTGGTTTCGAGTCACATCGAAATAGGACTTCGCCACACCACCCCGTCGGATTGCTGAGGTGGCCACGACAACGATGCCTTCGCTGTGAGTACATGGGCCGGCCTGTGTGTAAAAGCGTCTGTGTGTACAAGTGATTGTGTGTAAAAGCGCTTGTGTGTAAAGCCGTCTGTGTGTAAAAGCGTCTGTGTGTAAAAGTGTTTCTGCGTAAAAGTGTTTGTATGTAAAACCGTCTGTGTGTAAAAGCGTTTGTGTGTAGAAGCTTCTGTGTGTACAAGCGTCTGCGTGTAAAAGCGTCTGTGTGTAAAAGTGTTTGTGTGTAAAAGTGTTTGTGTGTAAAAGTGCCTGTGTGTAAAAGCGTCTATGTGTAAAAGCTTCTGTGTGTCAAAGCGTTTGTGTGTAAAAGCAGCTCCTGTGTGTAAAAGGGTCTGTGTGTAAAAGTGTCTGTGTGTAAACGTGTCTGTGTGTAAAAGTGTCTGTGTAAAAGCGTCTGTGTGTAAAAGCTTCCGTATGTAAAAGCTTCTGTATGTAAAAGCTTCTGTGGGTAAAAGCTTTGTGTGTAAAAGCCTCTGTGTAAAAGCTTCTGTGTGTAAAAGCTTCTGTGTGTAAAAGCTTTTGTGTGTAAAAGCGTCTGTGTGTAAAAGCTTCTGTGTGTAAAAGTGTTTGCGATGCACACTACTGTCTTGCACTTCTCACTATTTTGTCTTGATACTCCTCTTCTCGACTGCCTATAACACATCTTTCATATATTGTTTGTAAAATTGTGTCTCCATACTAACAAGAGAAGACCCTGCTCCTCTACGCTCTCGGGCCATCCGTCGTCTAGTTTTTCTGACAACCAATTCACTCTGTGGCATCAAAACTGGAAGTGCATTTGTCTGCCCAATCCGGGTGAAATCGGGAAAAACAGATTCGAAACACAAAATCCATCTAGTTGGTTCATTTGTTCAGTTCATTGTTTTTCCATTATTTGTCTGTATGTAATGTGGTTCGGCTATGCGGCAAATAGAAGCTTTTGATGCGGTTCAATGCACTTCGTCAACGGAATCCTATCCAACTACAAATCATACATAAATCAAACATTGCCTTCGAAGCCACCACAAAACCACACAACCACACAACAACTCAGCAACACAACCACTGCAACAAAATATCTGTTCTCAGTTCTCATGATAAGAATACTACAAATGTTTGCTCGGCACATGCGTCAAAGAGTGACTCTGGGGTCGGCGGCAGGGGGCGTGAGCCCTTTATAATTATTATCTCTTTGTAGTGCGCATTTTTCTTTGGTGTGTAGTGTGTGTGTGTGTGCGTGTGAGCCTCGACGTGGGATTGATACAAGAACTAGCAGGCTACTGGTTTAATTGTTGTCTGGGACGGATTTGGGAGAACCTTTGGAATTTGATACTGCAAATATAATGCATGTTATTTATTTATGCATTAGTACCACTGCTACAACCCCCGTTTGCCCCAAGACGGTGAACAAAACGAACTCTAGGTTTCATCTCACAACAATGCAACTACTCTATCAATGCCTCGCCAACATCGGCAGCCAACATGTCGCCCTCAACCAGTTTGACATCCTGAAGCACTGGAGCCAACCAGAGCTGGGTCGTGTTGTGAGACAAGACCAAGTTTCCCATGCAGTGTCTGTGTCAAGTCACACCTCATCGACATTACTCCGAGGCCGGCCGCTGATTCCCATCAATTCATTTCGAAGTTGGTGCGCCTCCCCTGAGAGCACCAAAGATCCCCATGCCTCAGCTGTGTGACGAGCCGTTGGATCCTCTGGAAGGGGAGAGCTTTCTGAGCAAATCTGGTGGATAGATTGGCGGAAAATGGTGGAAATCTATGGAAATCCTCTCTATTAAATTATTATAATGTGGGATACAGATTAGTGTGGGGATACAGAATTGTGTCCACAGACTCCAAAATTATTTTGTATCTTTGGAAATGATCGAGGGGTACAGTTTTGTGTCCACAGGATTTTGGTGCAAGTTTTTTTTGTTTTTTAGTTTTTAATTGTTTTTTATTTTTATTTTTAATAATAATAATTTTTATTTTTAATTTAAGTATTTTCTATTTATTTTTTATTTTTAATTATAATAGTTTTTAATTTAATTATTTTTTATTTAATTTTAAATTATTTTTTATTTTTAATTATGGCAATTTTTAATTTAATTATTTTTTATTTGTATTTTTAATTATAATAATGTTTATATTATTTTTTATCTTTTTAAATTGTGTCAGGATACGTAATTGTGTCATTGTGTCAGGATACACAATTGTGTCTTGGTCTTGTTTCTGTTTGTTCAAACATTTTTCACGTTTTTTCATTTTTTAATTTTTTCTTTTACTTTTTATTTTCCATCATTGAAATTTTCCAGATGCCTTCCACAGAAAATTACATCCAGGTACACAATAGTGTGGTTTGTTTGGAGGGTACACTATTGTGTCCAGCTGCTTTCCTGAGGTCATGATTTTTTGATTTGTTCAATCATTTCCTTTACCTTTTCCTTTGCTAGCTAAAGTCTTTTCCTTTTAATTAATTCCTTTCTTAGTTTCTTTCATTTGAAATTCTCAGAAATGCCCAGTTTCCCAAAATATATGGTGCCTTATTAAAACCCAATTAAAAAACATCACCCAAACAATTTTTCAAGGGGGTAGTCCATGAGCAACCCTGATACACAATAGTGTGGTTTGTTCGGAGGGCACACTATTGTGTCCAGCTGCTTTCCTGAGGTCATGATTTTTTGATTTTTTCAATCATTTCCTTTACCTTTTCCTTTGCTAGCTAAAGTCTTTTCCTTTTAATTAATTCCTTTCTTAGTTTCTTTCATTTGAAGTTCTCAGAAATGCCCAGTTTCCCGAAATATATGATGCCTTATTAAAACCCAATTAAAAAACATCACCCAAACAATTTTTCAAGGTGGTAGTCCATGAGCAACCCTGATACACAATAGTGCGGTTTGTTTGGAGGGTACACTATTGTGTCCAGCTGCTTTCCTGAGGTCATGATTTTTTGATTTTTTCAATCATTTCCTTTACCTTTTCCTTTGCTAGCTAAAGTCTTTTCCTTTTAATTAATTCCTTTCTTAGTTTCTTTCATTTGAAATTCTCAGAAATGCCCAGTTTCCCAAAATATATGATGCCTTATTAAAACCCAATTAAAAAACATCACCCAAACAATTTTTCAAGGGGGTAGTCCATGAGCAACCCTGATACACAATAGTGTGGTTTGTTCGGAGGGCACACTATTGTGTCCAGCTGCTTTCCTGAGGTCATGATTTTATGATTTTTTCAATCATTTCCTTTACCTTTTCCTTTGCTAGCTAAAGTCTTTTCCTTTTAATTAATTCCTTTCTTAGTTTCTTTCATTTGAAGTTCTCAGAAATGCCCAGTTTCCCAAAATATATGGTGCCTTATTAAAACCCAATTAAAAAACATCACTCAAACAATTTTTCAAGGGGGTAGTCCATGAGCAACCCTGATACACAATAGTGTGGTTTGTTTGGAGGGTACACTATTGTGTCCAGCTGCTTCCTGAGTTGATTTCTAGCAGCCAGCTTCAGTACCCTTTTTCATCCAATGCCTCTAAGATCTGATGCTGTTGAGGAGCTGAGACATGATGAGATTCAAAGTAGCTGAGAATTGCTTAGTCTGTGCCAAGCTTTTAAAAAGTAGAAGCCAACTAAGCTCCATCAGAATTGCCCTGAATGTTCCTCTGCTGGCTGAGAAGGATGTCAGGTGATGGCTGCCTAAGGACTTCCTTCTTATCCTCAGGTCCTGCCAGGGTGAAGACAGCTAAGAACAAGATAACCTAATTAATCAGTTGGGTTTCAGAAGCAGCAATGAAGAATCCCACCGCATCAGCTGCATTTATGTACTTGCAAGCTACTTCTCAGACTTAGCTGATGCCACAAATTTAATGCCAGACTTAGCTGATTGATTAATTAGCTGCTTAGCTGAGGTGATGCTTCAAAAAAACAACTGAGGCTTTTGCTCAGACTGCAAACTCACTAATTAATTAGTATGTTTCTAAATCTGGCTCAGTTGTGCCTTCAGTTGTTGCATGACTCCCCTGAGCAGCCTGAGCAACCTGCCAAGGAGCAGTCTTCTTAGAAGGTTTGGGTGGATGCCCCTGGCTCTTCTGAGTTGCATCACTCCCCTGAGCAGCCTGAGCAACCTGCCAAGGAGCAGTCTTCTTAGAAGGTTTGGGTGGAGGCATCTGATGATCATTGGCAGCCTGAGAAGGCATGGGAGCAAACTCATAAGCCAAAGAAGAAGGAGGAGCCTTGAAGACAGGAGCCCTAGACTGAGACTGCTTCATGTTCTGAAAGCTTTTCTCCAAATCCTCAGACTTCATGCCAAGCTCTTCCAACTGAGCCACTAGCTCATCAGCCTTAGCTTGCTTGCTCTTCTTCTCCTCCATCTCAGTCAAAGCAGTGCTGATCTTCTCCTTGGCCTGATTGAGTTCCAACTGCATCTGAGCTAAGGGGAGTTGCTCATCTTGCATCTTCTTAGCATCCTCCAAGATCCTGAAAAGAGTAAACTCCTGAACATCAATGCCATACTTCAGAGCCTCAAGCTTCTGATTGATCTCCTTGTGGATGTGCTCAAGGGAGCCTATTTCACTGAGATCTTCAGCCCCTTTCACCAGCTTGATCAGCTGAGTGATAGTATGCCCAGGGTCAATCACAGCATATTGGGATCTGTAGTACCCCTCAGATTTTTTGGCCTGAGCTTTTGGCCTAGCCTTGGCTGAAGGAGCTGACTTGAACAAATGATGCAACTGAGAAGGCCCAGCAGCTTTAGGAGGCTCAGCAGGCTCCAGTTTGTGCATGAACTGAGCACAATAGAAAGGCTCTGTGACAAACACCTGCCAGCGGGGTGGGCAAAGGCTGAGAATCATCTGGTAATACTGAGCAATGGTCTCCTCAGACCACCCATTGATATCCTGCAGGGTTGCTAGGGATGTGAAAAAATTATCAAACATACATTAAAACTTAGCAATTAACTAATTAACTAATTAATTAATTAATTCGTTAATTAATTAATTAATTAATTAATTATATAATTAGTTGATTGACTAATAATTACAATCAAATCATGCCCCCATGCTCAGAAACACAAAGAACAAATGCATTCACATATGTTCAAACCCATGTCCTTGCAGAAGGCGCAGCCATTCTGACATGGGATCCTGCTGAGCACCACCTTAGACCTGCACTTAGGACACTGAACATAAGGCTCTTCATCATACCTTGGGTAATGTATGGTCTCCTTAGGGTCTGAGCCAGGACCAAATATATCCCCCACTGAGGGAAAACTTGATGAAGGCCTCAGTCTGATCACAGTTTGAGGGCCTGTCATGGCCCAGCTTAAGCCATGTGGGACTGAGTGAGGTTTGTCCACGGCTTAGTTGCAGCTGAGTTGGGATTCAAGTATGCTCACTATGGGCTTGAGTTCATTAAGCAGCTGAGCCATCACACAATCATGCATTCCTGAACAAAACTGAGCACAAGTCCAAGACCATGAGCAAGCTTGGAACCAACCCCACACCACCAGAACCAACCCTGAGTCCTCTCTTAGCATTGCCACCCTTCTGAGGCTTCTCCTTCTCAGATGCATCCTTATGGCTGAGCTTCAGGAGGGAATCCACAACTGAGGCTACTGAGAGATCATGATCTTCAATCATCTGAAGAAAGACTTGTCTCTGCTCCTCAGAAAACTTATTTGCCATGGCTCAGGAAGTGAGCTGAAGCTAGCCTGAGAGCTCCTTAAATTTGGGATTGAGCCCTCACAAGCTGAGAAATGCACCCTTGCTGAGGTGAACACAAGAAAAACCAATTGAAAGTCATTAATTAATTAAATTGAAGTCAATTGGAAATCCTTTGAAATCAATTGGAAGTAAATTGATTTAAATTGAAAATCAATTGAAATCAATTGGAAATCAATTGAAAGTAATTAAGTTAAAATCAACTGAAAGTGCATTGAAAATCAACTGACTTCAATTGAAAATTAATTGAAAGTAAATAGAAATCAATTGAAAATAATTAATTAATTAATTAATTAATTAATTACTTATGTTTGTTTTGGTGGTCCACTATTGTGTCCAGCTGCTTCTTGAGGTGAATTGTTTTTAGAAACATTCCCTTTACCGTTTCCTGTGCTAGAGTTTTTTCTTAGTTAATTAATTAATTAATAAATTAACCAATTATGATTTCTAGAATACTAATTCATTAGTTAATAAATTATGTGTCAACCCAGACCATGTCAGAGTACCTTATCACTTTTTTTGCTTACACTGCATGTTCCAGCTGAGATTTGCGCAGTTTGGCTCAGAACATAGTATATAGCAAATATTTTTTTTCCATTGAGATCTAAACTAGGAATAAACAATGCAATTAATTATAAATATAATTAATCCGCCGACCCCGGCATACGCAAGGGGGAGCGCGCCAGGGAATAATACTTTTGACCCGTGTTTCGGACTACTACCACTTCTGCAGCAGCTGCAGCAGCAGCAGCAACCAGCAGCAGCTGGAGTGGATGGTGTGTTCCCATCTGGCAGCTGTTTTTGGAACGGAAGGAGCAGGAGCAGCAGGACGAAAAAGGAGCTAAAATCATCATTTTCTATGGGTTTCAGAAGTTACTTTAGGCAGTTTTGGGGTGCAATTTTGATGCTTCTCCCGCTTCTTCGTCCTTCACTGCCATGGTGTTTTTTTCCCATCCGGACAGAAGCAACCGCGTTTTGGAGCGGGACAAGTAGCTCAGAAATCCTCATTTTCTATGGGTTTCAGAAGTTACGTTA